GAGCAAAAACAGCAACCACTACTACTACTACTACTACTACCACTACTACCACCACTACTACTACTACTACCACCACTACTACTACTACTACCACTACTACCACTACTACCACTACTACCACTACTACCACGACGACCACGACGACTACGACGACTACGACGACTACGACGACGACGACGACTACGACTACGACTACGACTACGACTACGACGACTACGACGACTACTACTACTAACTACTACTACTACTACTACTACTACTACTATTTACTACTACTGCTACTAACAGTAGTGCTAGCACTGGTACTAGCACTGGTTCTACTACTACTACTACTACTCCTACTACTACTGCTACAACAACAACAACTACTACTACTACTACTACTACTGGCTACTACTATGTCTGCTACTACTTCTACCACTACTACTGCTACTACTACTACTACTACTGCTACTACTACTACTACTACTGCTACTACTACTACTACTACTACTACTCCTACTACTACTACTCCGACTACGACTACGCCTGCTACTACTTCCACCACTACTCCTGCAGTTGCTGCTGCTGCTGCTACTACTACTACTACGACTACTGCTACTACTGCTACTGCTACTGCTACCACTACCACTACCACTACTGCTACTACTAGTACTACTANNTACTACTACTACTACTTCTAGTACTAGTACTAGTACTAGTACTAGTAGTAGTACTAGTACTAGTACTAGTACTAGTACTAGTACTAGTACTAGTACTAGTACTAGTACTACTTCTACTTCTACTTCTACTTCTACTTCTACTTCTACTTCTACTTCTACTTCTACTTCTACGACGACTACTACTACCACCACCAGCCCGGCTACTACTCGCAAAGATTGGCTCCGCAGGTAGGAGTATGTCTTCAAAAGATGTAATATTCAGAATCTGTCTGTGCCGCATTCGATTCAGCTAGCTTTCTGTTTATTGTTGTTGAGGGGATGCAGCCAGACAGACCCGAGAGACAAATGCTCTAAGCACTTTCCGACACATACCGCTTGTAGCTAGTGGAAGTTTCTGGGAGGGGTCTCAAGCCCCATCGCGCTAGTCTGCTCCATTCTGGCACAGGATGCAATGGGGATGGGGCAATCATGGAACATGCCTTGTGCGCACATCTCTTAGAATGCCTTTGAAATTTCTGTGAAACGAGAGAAGGACAAGAACGCCTGCCTCAAAGCATACAGTCAGAACCCAGAGACATTTGAGGTCCGCGCGTTGCTAGCCTCGCTCAGTGGATAGGCTGACAAGTTCAAGCTGCTCTCCTCGACACGGTCAATGACTGCAGCCGCTCCAGTCTCCAAGAAATGTCAATGCTGAGCACTTGCGCAACTTCTTTCCTGCACTGAAGTGCTCTGATTTTTTTTGTTGCCTTGGTGGTTGTGGTTATGGCAGTGGTGCTGGAGCAGGAATGCCGCTGCTGTAGTAGCACTGGTCGCGGTGTCTGGCAGCAGCAGCAGAAGCAGCAGCAGCAGTAGTAGCAGCAGTGTTGGTAGTAGCAGTAGCAGTAGCAGTAGCAGTAGCAGTAGCAGCAGCAGCAGCAGCAGCAGCAGCAGCAGCAGCAGCAGCAGCAGCAGCAGCAGCAGCAGCAGTGCATTAGCAGTAGCAGGAGCAGTAGCAG